CAACTCAAAAAAAAAAAAAAGAGATTGCCTGAGCTCAGGAGTTCAAGACCAGCCTGGGCAACTTGGCAAGACCTCATCTCTGCAATATACCAAAAAATTAACCAGGTGTGGTGGCGCACACCTGTGGTTCCAGCTACTTGGAAGGCTGAGATGAAAGGATTGCCTGAGCCTGGGCAATGGAGTGAGACTCCAACTCAAAAAAAAAAAACAGTCTGTAAGCTGAATTTGATTTGCTGTCTTATTAGTATAACTGAGGCAATGGTTAAGTAAATAGCAATGTAACCCATAGTAAAATATGACACAGTCCTCAGAATCCTAGTCATGAAGACACACGGGAAGGTGTAAGCTGCAGTTTGTGAATGGCTGAAATACAAACTTGTGCTTGGTCATTTAAAGTTACATAAGAATATGTAGTACACATGAACCAAACCACTGAAAGGTGGATGGTTTTGAGGGTGTTTATGGAGCAGTCATCTCTGGGGTGGCCATGCTTCTCCTCAACTGGGCCCTGCAGCTGACCAGGCCAGGCTGGAGCTGAATGGCATCTGCTGCCTAGCTTCTCTGTGGCTTGTACATTTCCCCTGGTCTCCCCAGCACAGCATTTCTCCTCGTAGCTCTGCAGTGTGACCCATTAGAGGGGGTTGTCTGGACCTGTTGGATTTGCCCTTGTTTTTGTTTTGTTTTGTTTTGTTTTGTTTTGAGTCAGTCTCACTCTGTCCCCCAGGCTGGAGTGCAGTGGCAGGCTCACGGCCACTGCAGCCTCGACCTTCTGCCTCAGCCTTCCAATAGCTGGAACCACAGGTGGGCGCCACTTGCCTTTGTTTTTATTGGTGGTGTCAGTGTTATAACCCAAATCAGGGTCCCAGGGTACAGTGAGAATGTAGATGAGAATGTCCAGAGTCTCAGGCTGAACCAGACCCTCATACTCCAACAACATAAACAGATCGTGTGCTCTCCAAGCTGTAGCAACACGCAAGTCCAGAAGGGAAAGCGGCTAAGCTGGGTTTATCGGTTGCTGCCACCAGCACCATGCTCCTGTGCTTCTTGTTTGATCCACCGGCTGCCTGGTGTGGAGTGTGGCCACCACTCAGCACACACAGATGCCCTGGACTGGGCTTTAGGGGGAAGAGGTCATTGGGGGAAGGAAGAACAGGAAGGGGAGCATTTCCCAGCTACTCCCAGGCCCACCCTGGGGACATCTGTCTCTCGGTTCAACTTGCAGACAGTGTGGTGAGAGCTGAGGTAAGCAAGAAGGGGTCTGGGGCCACAGTGGTAGAAGTTGTGATGTGGTATGACTCATTCCCTGCTTTGGATGTCACCCTTTGGAAGCATGATGAGTGTTGAGCACTTCCCACCCCACTCTCACAGGGTTGTCTGTGCGTCACGCATGCCACGTTGCTCCCAGCTCACTCCATCACTCGTACCCAGCTGACGGCTCTGCAGGTTGTGATCTCAAGCCTAGTGGTCGGAGATGCAAGACCTCACAACTGGCTCCGTGGCTGGCCCCATGTGCCCTGTGAGGGCCCTAGCCACACTCATAGGCCTCTCTCTTCTTTCTCTCTGGAAAGGGATCTGTCCTATATCAAGATCATGGATGTGGGCCAGAGCTACGTGGTGAACCGAGTGGCTGACCACATCCAGAGCCGCATCGTATATTACCTCATGAACATCCACGTGACACCCCGCTCTATCTACCTCTGCCGGCATGGGGAAAGTGAGCTCAACCTCAAGGGCCGGATCGGCGGTGACCCAGGACTGTCCCCACGGGGCAGGGAGGTAAGAGTGTGTGTGTGTGTGTGTGTGTGTGTGTGTGTGTGTGTATGCATGCATTGGTACCTGTGAGTGACTGGGCATGTGTGTGCGTGTGTGCGCGCGCGTGCACGTGCACAAGGGCTAGGCTCCCGCTCTCCTCACTACTGTGAAATTGAGGTGATTCATTCAGTCTAGAATGTTCCCATCATGTAGGGAAAGTCACCAAGCACCAGTAAAATGCCTGCATCTGTGATCACCATGTGAGCTGTCGCTAACTGAGCCCCTTTCCTCAGAGAGGCATGCCATCCAGAAATGGCCTGAGTCCAGTGACCCAGGGAGTCTGTACAGTCTAGCTGATAGCTGTGCCACAGTCCAGGAGGGATAGTGAGACCTTACTGGTCATGTAGTATAGAGCACATGGTCAGGGAGAGGCAGTGGGTCTGGTGAGTCTAGCTGGAACTGTGCTGAGGGTCAGGGGAGGATGCCCAAGAGCAGAACTTGTGGGTATGAGTGTCGAGAAGTCAGTTTGTGTTTTCTACCAAACCTGTGTTCTCTGAGTCTAGGCACAGTTCCATGGACCCTATGGCTGTGGGGTCCTTTGAGGACAGCCCAGGACCTGTGGGCCTGAGTTTGCTTATGATGTGTTTCAGTTTGCTAAGAGTCTGGCCCAATTCATCAGTGACCAGAACATCAAGGATCTGAAGGTCTGGACAAGTCAGATGAAGAGGACAATCCAGACGGCCGAGGCACTGGGTGTGCCCTATGAGCAGTGGAAGGTCCTCAACGAGATTGATGCCGTGAGTACCATGCCTCCCTCCCCTGCCCATGTCTCCTGGCATTGGTGATGACAGTGTTGAGGGTCAGGGAAAATTTTGTCCTTAATTTTCTTCATTGGTTTTTGATTACTTTTCCATTTAACTAAGCAAGCCAGAATTCATTTTGATGTTCTGATAAAAGCTTCAATCTCATCCTTTCCCCAGTTAACTCATCTTTTCTTGTTTACTTACTTTTTTTTTTGGAGTTGGAGTCTCACTCTGTCACTCAGCCTAGAGTGCAGTGGCACACACACATGGCCACCGAGCATCAACCTGCTGGGCTCAGGCGATCCTTCCACCTCAACCTCCAGGGTAGCTGGGACTACAGGGGTATACCACCACACCTGGCTACTTGATTGATTTGTTGTAGAGACGAGGTCTCACTATGTTGCCCAGGCTACTCTTGACCTCCTGGGCTCAAGCTATCCTCCTGTCTTGGCCTCCCAAAGTGCTCAGATTACAGGAGTGTGCCACTGTGCCTGGCCCAGCTGGCACTTTTGAACTGGCAAAACCTCAAAAGATAAAGTGACACCATATATTGAGTTCACTTCTTAGAGGTTTACTTTGTTCCAGCATCTTGGCCCCTTGAGTTCTCTCTGCTTTTATAACTCTGTTACAAAGTTAAAGAGTTAAAAATTTTTCTGCTTGGCTTTTCTTTTTCTTTTCTTTTCTTTCTTTCTTTTTTTTGAGTCAGTCTCACTCTATTGCCCAGGCTAGAGTGCAATGGCATTTTCACAGCTACTGTGGCCTCAACCTGCTGGGCTCAGGCGATCCTTCCACCTCAGCCTTCTAAGAAGCTGGAACTATAGGTGTGTACCATCATGCCTGGCTAATATTTTTTAATTTATTGTAGGGACGAGGTCTTGCCAAGTTGTCCAGGATGACTTCAAACCCCTGGGATCAGGCAATCCTCTTGCTCTGCCTCCCAAAATGTTGAGTTTACAGGTGTGAACCACCACACCTGGCTCTGCCTGGCTTTTGAGTTGCTGTTTCTGGACTTTTGTTCTGAAACAAGCTAGCCTACCATTGCCTGAAGCAGATGCCCCTAATAGGATCAGATCTGAATCTTTGAAAGACCACCCCTGATGACTAGCTGGTGCCAAGAATGGTTTTGTTGGGGTGAGGTGGGAGACCAGCTGAAGAACGGAGACTGTTTGGGGGGTACTTGCAGCATCCTGGCAAGGTGATAGCCTTAGAAACTTTTGGGTGGTAGCAGGGACAGAGAGTCGATGGGTCTGAGGGATGTTTCTTTGTTTATGTATCACATATTTCTGTGAGCCCATGGTCTGCCAAAAACTAGAGTAGGTTCTGGGGCTCAAGATTCTGGATGCTCATGCTTATAATCCCAGCACTTTGGAAGGTCAAGATGAGAGGATTGCCTGAGCCCATGGGTTTGAGACCACCCTGGGCAACTTGGCGAGACCTCATCTCTACAATAAATAAAAAATAAATCAAAAAATTAGGGCATGGTGGTACGTGCCTGTAGTTCCAGTTACTTGGAAGGCTGAGGTGGAAGGATCACCTGAGCCAAGCAGGTCGAGGCTGAGGTGGCTGGGAGCATGCCACTACACTCCAGCCTGGGTAACAGAGTGAGACTCCGACTCAAAAAAAAAAAAAGATTCTGATGGAGATTCTGGCTGAACCTGTGGGATTAAAAAGAGAAGCACTGCAGGTTTCCAGCCACTGGAGTGGGTTCTGGGGCAAGGAAGGAGTGAAGCTCACACGAGGGCAGGAACCACGTCTGCTTTGTTCCCACATGGTAGGTACTCGGTAAATATGTACGGAATGAAAGGAAGAAGTTTCTGGGAACTGTGCAACAGCAGATGCCCAGAGTGAAACTGATCTCTGAGGAGTGTTGAGGCTTAAGCATCCCCCAACAGACACCGTACTTGAAACTGTGGAATGGATGAGGTGGTGGAGGGTGGAGAAGTTGGGCCCAGGACAAAACTCTGGGAGCCCCAGCACTTAAGGGTCTGTGGAGGAGGCTACAGACGGGTGTCCAGTGAGGTGGAAGAGAAACACAGTGGGTGGGAGTCATAGAAGTCGAGGCAGAGAGGAGGCGCAGTGGTCAGTAGGCAAGATGCTACAGGGTAGGGAAATGAGGCCAGGCTCCAAACTGACCACTGGGATGTTATAACAGTGTTACTGGGGTTCTTGGCATGAGCCTGGTGGAGCCGGATCCCAGTGGGAGTAGGTGGGGAAGTAAGTGGGAAGAAAAGGGGCTCAGAGTTGAAGGAGACTTGAACCACATGTAAGCTGACAAGGCAGGGTTGGCAGAAAGAGGGTGCATAGGGGTTCAGGAGACTTTGAGATTGCAAAGTATGGGGGGGCAGGTGAGCATGGGGAACTGTGTCTGGTATCTTTTAAGCTAGTAATTTTCAGCAAATTCTCTTGGATTTCTTGTGAGCTGTCATATCCTCTGAAGTAGGAATGAGGAAGGCAGTTTTGCCTTCGCAGTTGACACACCTTGGGTTTCTGTTTCATATTATTGCTTTGGCAAGATGAAGTGAGAGGCAAATGGAATGTCCGTGTCTGGTTCTTTACTGAGTGGGCCTGCCTCTTGGGCTTCCAATATTTGGAATGGTGATAGCAGTGGATTGATCCTGCTCCTGGTTTTTTTTTTTTTTTTGAGTTGGAGT